TAAAGAAGCATTCAGAAAAGTTATCCAAAATAAATTGTTTGTTAAGTAAATTAAACATTCTGGTCTTAGGTGTGCAATACATCTTATTGTCTGACCAATTAATAAGCACTTGAATAAATCACTATTTGTTATTGAGTGTTGTGTTTTGTAATTCACATATTGAACTTGGAATAATCTTAGTTATCATGTCAATGAGTGAAAAAAAAGTAATGCGTAGAAATTCAAAGACAATACTAGGAGGTATTGCTATTGATCCTTAAAGTCAACTAAAACTGGATGTTCCCATCTATAATACTCTTACTCTTAAAAAGTTGTAAAAGGCAGAACTATCAGATGGTGCTAGAATAATAAAAGTTTGTTAGAGTTTTATAGTGCTTAATGATTTCCAGGCTATACTCAGAAACTTCTCAACCATAGGAAGTGAATTTTTTGCCTTTAACAAGTCATATAGCAGTAAAGATTCCTGGGTATTTTAGGTTATTACTCTAAGAAAAAAATTTAGAATGATAGTATTGGTCCAGTGGAATCTTCATTTGTACGGTCTTTCATGAAACACTAAATGTCTTTTAGTATTTTTTAAACCGATATACATCTCCAAATTATGTACCATTTTTAACATATAATCAGAAACAGAATAGTAGAAAGACCACTGTGTAAACATAAGTGATCATTATTAAGTCCTCACACCATGCTACTTTTGTTTCTGATATTTCACATACTCAGATATTCTAAAATCAAGTCCTCCCTGGTTGATTTTGTTCTTCTTCCCAGTTCCTGTATTGAACTCTAATGTAATTTAATGTTTATTTTCCCTATGTAGACTTTTAACATTTTCTAGGTGTTTATGTATCCACAGAATTATATAATAATGTTTTACTAGATTTAAAACTTGATGTAAATGAAATCAGGATATGTGTCTTTCTGAAATTATTTTAGTTCACATTAAATATTCTTAGATTTATGCATGCTGAGTCATGTAGCAGTATTTTTCACTAATAATGTCTATGTCAATATATAAATATGTTATCATATATTTATCCATTCTACTATTGATGGGCAATTAGATTTTTCCAGTTCCTTATTTTATGAAAGTCGGCAATAAATTTTCTTGTGGCAATAAGAATTCTGAATATGTACCAGTTCAAGAGTTCCCCTGATGTGTGTAATGAGGATGGTGATTTCTGGGTTATATGATACTCACATCATTAAATTTACAAGATATAGCCAAATTGCTTTACCAATTTATTGTCAGCCAGCAATGTGTGTGAGACTGCCCTTTTCTCCACATTCTTGTCAATACAGTATAGGGTGGGACAAAAGTAGGTTTACAGTTTGAGTATGTGAAACAGTTTATTCTTGGATTACTATTCGTTAATTATTGTATTATTTTTCCATATAAACAAGTGTAAATCTACTTTAGCCATACCCTATTGTTGTCAGATTATTAAAATGTTTTCTAGTATTATGGTGCAAAATGGATTCCATTTCTTGTATAACTTTTTGGGTTGTCATTACAAGTACAGCTAAGTATTTTCAAATGCTTTTGATGAAAGTTGAAGATGTGTCTTTTTTTGTTGTATGTCCCTATTCTTTGCCCAATTTCCAGCTGAATTATTTCATCTTTATTTCCTACATTTGTAATAGCTTCTTATGTATTCTGTACCAGGAACTAATCTTTTAATAATACATACAATGCAAATATCTTTAACCTGTTTGTGGTTTGAATTTTATTTTTGTGGATGATATGTTTGGTGGCACAGAATTTTTCATTTTAACACAGTTCAAATTTATGAATCTTTTCTTTATGGTTGTGCTTTGAATATCTTGTCTAAAGAATGCTTCCCTTCAATTTGAGCCTTTTCTGGTTACCAGGACCCACTTGAATCTGACGAGAAAAAGGAAAGCTATGATTAGAGGCGAACTAAGAGAATGTTTAAACAGTGGTGAGAAAGGGAGGGACAAACTGTGACTGCAGGCTGAGAAATGACATCTGCCTATAACTGAAAATATAGTCAACCTGGTTTATGAAAACAGGACTTCAAATCCTATCCTGTCACTTACTGGCTCTGTGGCACTGATTAAATTAATCCATCACTGTTCTTTTAGTTTTGCATCTGTTTCTTTAGTTGAAAGTTCAGGATGAAGATCCTACTTCTTAGGATTAAATTAGGAAATCAGTCAAACTACCTACATAAAAGTGTCCGCACATGTGAAATGCTCACTGATATGTTTGCCAATGACCCTGAGTTGCTCAATCTTTCTCATGGCAGATTTTTTCCAAGACTTGATGTTCAGCATAAAGGATTTTGTTAAGAGGTCTGGATTTTAGGAGGTTAGATACTTTTAGTATAAATGAAATAGAAAAGATAAAAATCATATCATCATAAAATTTCAAGATGATATCTGTTTGTGTGCCTTCTGCAGAGCTCTTAGGGCAAATAGTAAATTTGAAATTATGAAAACTATAGAAATCTTAACTTTTGTGGCAGCAAGGATGGATCTAGAGCATAGGTGGCAAACACAAGGCCTGTGGACGAATCTGGCCCTCCACCTTGTTTTATCCTGGCTGGCACCTTTTTTTTTTTTTTTACCCAGGGGCAGTGTTGAGCTCTGGCTTAACTGTTAAGGAATAGTTACATTTACATAGTCCAAAAATTACATTTAGCGCTTTGAAGGCAACTGCAAGGTTGATGCGGCCTCCAGTGAAAATAAGTTTGACACCCTTGATCTAGAGGATATTAGGCTAAATGAAGTAAGCCAATTAGAGAAAGACAAATACCTCAGGATTTCACTCCTGTACGGAGTCTAGTGAACAAAATAAACAAACAGAAACATACTCCCAGATACATAGAACAGGCTGACAGCTGGCAGAGGGGACAAGGTTTGGGGGACTGGGTGAAAAAGGTGAAGGCATTGAGAAGTAAAAATTGGTAGTTGCAGAATATTCACAGAGATGTAGATTACAGCACAGGGGCCATAGTCAATAATATGGAGATGACTACATATGGGGCTAGGTGGGTACTTGAAGCATCTGAGGGACCACTCTGTAAAGTACATGATTGTCTAACCACTTTGCTGTACATCTGAAATTAATACAGAGTCATACTGAATGTAAACTTCAATTTGAAAATAAATTGGAACCTATGACTGATGCATATAATTAGCTTTCTGATCCCAGAGTGTTCCAATTAAACCTAGGAGGGGTGATTCCCAATGTAACAGTCATTGCTGATACTTTTAAGTCCTCCTGAGATTTGCATTAAGAGCAGGTCCCTACCTCCCACAGCTGGATATAAATGGGACTACCTTTTACAGCTTCGAGAGGCATCAAGAAAGTTCCCTATTCGGAGGTTGAGAAAACAGTGCTTATCAGAATCAGAAGTAAGTTTTGGTATTTTTATTTTCTTTCAGTGAATAAAAAATTGTGTTAAAATTTTAAACTGAGGCTTACCAAATTATCCCCCCCGCCAGCCCACATCCACAAATATGTACCTGTAATCCTTTCTCTTTTCAGTAGGAGAGTTTGAACTTTAACTGATTTCCCTGGCTAGGTTTATTAAAAGTTCTGTTGATCTCCCTGGACAATATTTTATAGACCTGTCCCTGGTTCAGCTGAAGCAACAAAGGCCAACATTGTCTTCTCACACAAATGTAAGGACATTTCAAGGTTTGAGATGGAGCTTACCCTAATATAAGAGTTTTTGGAGTTTGAGCCAAGTGACCTATAAGCCCCTGGCATACTGTGTCTTTTGGTAGGTTTTAATGTATGCCTTTACATGGTATACAGACAAAAGTATGGGTATAAATATATTATCTATAGGTATACTTGTTGGTGTAAGTATAAATAAGAGATAGAAATATAATGGTAATTCATATATAGGCACATTAAAATAATGACAGTGAAAATACAAATTTGGTTTATGGTAGTATTCCTTTTAAATGACATGAATTTTGGAGAAAAATAATTTCAATAACCAGTAACCTGATCTCTGCCTTCCTGTCTGCCCCATTTCCATTTGTTTCAAGTTCAGGCACTGACTCTCAGAAAATGCCCATCACTAATGACAGTGAAATAACAGAATTCGTTCTCCTGGGGCTCACAGGTCACCCTGAACTCCAGCCTCTCCTCTTTGTGCTGTTCCTGGTGGTGTACCTGGTCACTCTCTTGGGCAACTTGGGCATGATAGTGTTGATCAGACTGGACTCTCGCCTTCACATGCCCATGTACTCCTTTCTCACTAACTTAGACTTTGCTGTCTTGTGCTATACCTCCAATGCCACCCCACAGATGCTGACTAATTTCCTCTCAGAGAAGAAGACCATCACCTTTGCTGGCTGCTTTACACAGTGTTACATTTTCATTGCGTTCCTCCTCACTGAGTTTTACATGCTGGCGGCCATGGCCTATGACCGCTATGTGGCCATATGCAACCCTCTGCGCTACAGTGTGAAAATGTCCAGGCGGGTGTGCATCTGCTTGGCCACATTTCCTTATGTGTATGGCTTCTCAGGTGGCCTGTTACAGGCCATCTTGATCTTCTGCTTGACCTTCTGTAGATCCAACATCATCAACCACTTCTACTGTGCTGACCCACCACTCATCAAACTTTTCTGCTCTGACACTTACATCAAAGAGCACACCATGCTCATATCAGCTGGCTTCAATCTCTCCAGCTCCCTCACCATCATCCTGGTGTCCTATGCCTTCATCATTGCTGCCATCCTCAGGATCAAATCAGCAGAGGGAAGGCACAAAGCATTCTCCACCTGTGCTTCCCACATGATGGCTGTCACCCTATTTTATGGGACACTCTTCTGTATGTATGTGAGACCACCAACAGACAAGACTGTTGAGGAATCCAATATAATAGCCATCTTCTACACCTTTGTAAGTCCAGTGCTTAATCCATTGATCTATAGTTTGCAGAACAAAGATGTAAAGCGGGCATTGAAGAATGTCCTCAGACAAAATATGGTCACTAAGATGGCAATGCCTCCACTTTCTAATAAACCATAACTCTAAACTGTTGGCTCAAATGTCTTTGCATCTTGATGACGAGTTTGGTGTTCTTTGTGGGTGTATTTCACGTAGCTCATGTACAAGCTTCAGGTTTGGGGTAAAAACGAGCTGCATTTGATAGTCTCCTCCCTTGCCCCTCAATGTGTGGTCCTCGGGCTAGCAGCAACAGGACTCTCACAAAGGTTTTTAAAAATGTGACATCACATTCTGTACCTCAGATCTACAACATCCAAATCTGTGGTTTAACCACATCCTAGATGATTTGCAGACAGGTCAAATCTAGGGGCAGTTTTCTAAGTGGAACTTCTCTGCTGTCACAACCTGGAACACTGGCGTGGTCTTGTTATTTACAATAGTAGACAGAAGGGACATGCTGTTAGCCTAGTTCCTTGAATTTATTCTGTTCTTATGACCATCTTCTTTAAGAAACACACCTTCTACCCCAACTTACTAAGTAAAAGCATACACACTGTAGGTCATAATAATGGTTTCCTGTTGATGTGCTTTGGAATAGTCAGTAGTGGCTAGTAGGCAGTGGACCAGAATGAGCATTCTTTCTTAGACATGAATTTGTGGATCTAGTTTGTGGCCTCTGAGTTGTAGGATTCTACTTCTTTCCTTTGAATCGCAATACTGGATCCATAAGCTCAGGTCTTGGAAAAGAATAATTTCTTGTTTACTGGAGTTTTCTAGTTTTTTACATGAATGTTTGGATTATTATGTCCAATCTTACTTTTTTGTCATATAAATGTTTATACAGTTCACCTAAACATTGTTTTAGCTAAAAGCTACTTATTTTTATATCCAGTTTATAATATTTTCTTGTTTTCCTGGTGACTTTTTCTTTAATCTACAGGTTATTTAGCAGAAGGTGGTTAATGACCATACACTGGGACTCTAAAAGATATTTCATTGTTATATATTTGTAATTTAGTACTCTTATCAAAGAACTAGCCTTATGATTTTATTCTCGAAAATTTATTGACCAATATTTTTCCAGCTTTATTGAGATATTATTGACACATAACCTTGCTTTAGCTTACAAAGGTATATATTTGAAAATTATTATTACAACAAGGTTAGTTAACACATCTATTATCTCACATAACTACAATTTTTTTTTGTTGTAGTAGATAATTGGATACTTGGTAATGGGAAGAAAAGATAGATATACTATTTTCACATTTACTCTTTTTTCATGTATGAACAAATCTTATATTGATAAATTACATGCTCACTCGGTTTTTCATAATATATTAGTTTCAAACTGCTAGACCCAACGCCTGCATTACAACTCATTACGATATCTTGTTCAAATCATTTTACTCATTGGGTTTTGAAATTTAACCACTTTATTCTATACATGAAAATCATTTCAGCAAACAGTAGTAATTTTATGGAAGGGGCTGTACAAAACAATTCAGATTGGTAAACATCACAGAAACAGCAAAGTCCATGAATCATGTCATTATTTTAAATCTTTATTAATTTTTACTGATCTGATTGGAATATATGTGATCCTTAATACACAAATTTTATGAGAATAAACTCCTGATCACCCACAGGAATCAGCTCAAAATGATTACAAATTGAGGCAATCACAGTTTGCACATCCCAAGACTCTAATGAGTGTGAGTCCACACGAATTATTATTTCCCTGGAGTTTTCTCTTGTCGTAACATTGCAATTATTTTTTTCAGGGTGTGTTGAAAATTACTTCAGGGATAAAAGTTCCAATTTGCAAGTCAGGTGTAAATCATTCCCAGTAACTCATTCCTTGGGCCACTAGTGTCTCTGAGAAACCTTTCCTGGGTCAGGTAGGTATGACAATTCTGACTTCCATGCCTGCACTTTCTCCTCTTGTTTCAGCTTTGAATCCTCATGAGCTAGACTCAGGTGACCACAAAAGGAGCTGTGAATATTAGTGTAATTTCTCAGCATTTGTTATTTAGATTGATCACTAGGAAATATAAAATTGTATTGGAATTATGTGTTCATATTAATTATTTTACTTTATACATAGCATGAACATTAAGTTATTATTTAATAATTTAATGCACATTAAATAACCATATTGGAGTAAGCACTTGCCAACCTAATACATTTTTTAGAATACTATTTATTGAAAATAACAGTTTCCTCATCAACAACAAAACCTTGACAAATAATTCTGAAGAGAGAAAAATTCAAGCATAATTATATTCATTGCAGCAAAAACAAAATTCTCACTGAACTTTGTAAATCTCTTTTTAAATTATTGGAGAAAGAAAATTTTGGGATAAATTTAATGTTAACTAAAAATACATGATTAGTAATGAGTATAGGATTTGAAACTACATAAATGATGAGTCAGGATGTTACAAATGATGGAAATTTCAGAAATTATTTAGTCAAAGTCTGATACTGAGTAAGTAGGCTCTGAGGTCTATAGAATAAAGCAACTATATTAAGGTAAAGAGACTGTTTTCTAATAAGTTTTTACTGGTAGATGATTGACTAGTGTGAAGCTGAAAAATGTAAAATGATCCACAACTTAGGTTTATACAGTGTAATCAGGTGATGCATCCTGCCCTTATGTTTGTGGGCTAGAAAACCAAGAGAGGGAGAAGGTGCTGGAGTTCATGATGGTAGAGTAGACAAAGCAAGTGTTCTATCCTGGGAAATTTCTATTCACCTGAGATAAGTTTAAAAACAAAATTATTTGCCAATACTGTATTTGATTAGATTTCTCATAAAAATAATGAATTCTTATAACTCTTTAAAACTGAAAGGTCTTAAGATCTTGGGATGTGGGACAACATGACCATACAGTAAAAATTCAACTGGCCTGAGTGGCTGCTGATGCCGTAGTCTGGGAACCATTCTGTAGTTCAGTTCACTCTCACCCAGACTGTCGGTTTACTCATTCTTATGGTTTAATATGGCTCCCACAGGCATTTGAGTTTTGACTCGTTACCTTCTTTAGTGTAACACTTGTGAAATAACACATGACAACATTAAGAATCCATAATGAAAATATATTTCCTAGGTGCCTGGCACAATAATTTCTCATTTTATTCTATAATTATAATCAATATTATCTGAATGTATAATCCTTTCATTATAATTAACATCATCTGAACTCTAGTGCTAAGAATAATTCTCTATTCATTAGTTTTTGTTTTATAACTTTTAGACATTATAGTTCTGTAATAAAGAAGGCTGAACTATTTACATATGTTATTGGAAAGTTTAGAGTCATATTTGTGTTCCACCATAAGCCTTAAAGTCAAATTTGCCAAATTCTGTTGTTGGTTATAAATCCCTTAAATGCTTTTTGTTAAATAAAAAAAAATAAAAGAATGGATAAGCAAAGGAAACTATGACATAAGTTTTGGATACTTATCTTTATGTGTTTCTTGCTTTTATTCATATAAATTTTTCAGAATGAAAATTTCTTCATCAGTTATTCATATAGGACTTTATTTCCAAATTTGGAGTTCTTATCTTTGATCTATTTATATAGGATAACACAATCTCCTATATTTTTTGAACAATGCAGTCAAACAGGTCCTAGAACATTTGCTTCAGACCTCTATAATTTTGAGCTCTCTAATACAATAGGGAGTGCAGTTCTCAGAGGCTGAATTTTTAAATATGCACACCCCATTAATGACTAAAAAACCATTTTCCAAGCACATCATCATTTTGTCCAGAACCATCATTGAGTTCAATGATAAAGTGCATGATTTTATGGTAAGCTGCAAGTGGCAGGTGGTAGTTCAATACATTTTAGACAGACTTTGGGTCCTAATTCCTGCTTTCCAAAACAGGTTGGTATCACAAGAGCCATTTTCTTTCAGAATCATCTGAATGTTATACATGTAGGTAACAAGGGCCATGACCTTCTTAAAGTCCCAGCTCCTACAGTGTCAGACTCTGTCTAATAATAGGGATGTGTGAGAGGGACTGTGAATGGAAAATGAGAGAAAGAAACATATGGCAAACTTCTCAATCACTTCTTTATTTTAATTCATCTAAGTGAGCAGCGCTGGCACCTAAGAAAATGCTCAGAGAAAATTCCACCTTGGTGACTGAATTTATCCTCTTAGGATTAACAGACCGTCCAGAGCTTCAGCCCATCCTCTTTGCACTGTTCCTAGTGATCTACCTGATCACTGTTGGAGGGAACCTTGGCATGTTGGTGTTGATCAGGATAGATTCACGCTTGCACACCCCCATGTACTTCTTTCTTGCCAGTTTGTCCTGCTTGGATTTGTGCTATTCTACTAATGTGACTCCTAAGATGTTGGTGAACTTCTTATCAGAAAAGAAAACCATTTCCTATGCTGCTTGTTTAGTCCAGTGTTATTTTTTCATTGCCATGCTGATTACTGAATATTACATGCTAGCCGTGATGGCTTATGATAGGTACATGGCCATCTGTAGCCCTTTGCTTTATAGCAGCAAGATGTCGAATGGTGTCTGTATTCGCCTGATTGCTGGTCCCTACATCTATGGGTTCCTTAGTGGCCTTATGGAAACCATGTGGACATACCGCTTGACCTTCTGTGGCTCCAATATCATTAATCACTTCTATTGTGCTGATCCACCCCTCATCCGACTCTCTTGCTCTGACACATTCATTAAGGAGACATCCATGTTTGTGGTAGCAGGATTTAACCTTTCCAACTCCCTCCTCATAATCCTCATCTCCTACGTCTTCATTCTCATCACTATTCTGAAGATGCGTTCTACTGAAGGCAGGCGGAAAGCTTTTTCCACCTGTGGGTCCCATCTAATGGCAGTGACTGTGTTTTATGGGACATTGTTCTGCATGTATGTTAGACCTCCCATGGACAAGTCAGTGGAAGAGTCCAAAATCATTGCTGTTTTCTACACTTTTGTAAGCCCAATGTTGAACCCCATCATTTATAGTCTGAGGAACAAGGATGTGAAACAAGCTTTGGGGAAACTGATCAGAAGAAATGTACTTTTGAAGAAAAATCACAGTGTCC